AGCTCCACTCTTTCAGCTGGGTTTACAAAATCCATTTCCTAGAGCCATTCCTGTGACTCAGGCCATGTTTTAAGGCTGGACATTCAAGGTCCTTTGCAAGTGGCTCTACATTTCCTTTTGAATTTCTTTTCTGACCAATCCTCTAAATAAATCCATTTCTCCCAGGATGCACAGTACCCCCGCTTTCCGCTCTGCTCTTCTTGTCCACGTTCCGATCACCCCTGCAGCCCAGCTCCTCTCACAGGCATCCCTCGGCTCCCCCCGTGACTGCAGGCTGTCCCCGAGCCCCTTCCGCAGGGCCTCTTCCCTACACGCCATGCCCCCCAGTAATGTCTACTGGCCGCACCACTGTTAGGGCTCTGGTCTTTTTTTCACAAGCAAATTCAAAATTCTTCAAAAGGAGATACTGTTTCTTTTTGCTGTTTCCTCCAGAGCAAGTAGCACAAAACTGGGTACATACAGGCCATTCCTGTTTATTGATCATTAGTAGGCCTCCCTAAGCCCCGAGATCCAGACAGGCGGCCCCTCGGCCTCAGCGGCGTGGCCGTCAAGGTCCGAGGCCCCCCGGGGCTCTGCAGGTCCCCTGGCCTCAGCCGTCCCAATCACCCCCACCCCGGTGCTGGCTCCCAGAAGGGCTGCCTCACCCTGTGGAGTCCTACCCAGTGCTACCAGCAGACACAGAAACCCACTCACACAAAGCCTGAGTCTAGCAGGACTAAGGCAACTGGGGGAGGAAATGGAAGAAAGGGTTTTGCTCATGTTCGGCAGGGCCCCCGTCCCCTCCCTCCCTTCTCTTTTCTCCCTCCTTTTCCTGCCCAAAGTAGCCGAGGCTCCCACCCTGAGAGCACAAACCACCCAGCAGGGGCTCCCACCTCCTCAGCAGGGCGGCGCCTCCTCCCGGGCCGGGACCTGCGGACATCACTGTTCAGGGCTTTCCTGTGGGCTCAGCAGTGCATCACGTTTTCAGAAAGGAAGTTCCTTCTCTCCGGGAAATCTGGCCCGGCTGGTAGAATAACTTTTTTAACCTTTACACTGAGACATCGGCCTACCCCGGGGTGGCTGGTTCTGAGGCCTCCGTCCCGCGGCTCCCTCTGCCGAGTGGCTGCGCAGGGCTGCTGGGTGAGCT